TTGTTTTTACAAATTATATTCCCAGCAAACAATGTTACATGTAACAAACATGTATGTTACATGTAACATTGTGTTTGCTGGGATTACAATAAATATCAAATTCATATGGCGCGAACAACACAACCTGATCTGTCATCGCGGCTGACAGCTGTATTTATATTATAATATTTGTTTTTACAAATTATATTCCCAGCAAACAATGTTACATGTAACAAACATGTATGTTACATGTAACATTGTGTTTGCTGGGATTACTATAAATATCAAATTCATATGGCGCGAACAACACAACCTGATCTGTCACCGCGGCTGACAGCTGCAAGCGACACGAAATCAACTGCGACGGGATCGAGACAATCGAGACGATCGAGACGACCAATTAGCGTCGCGGAAAAGAGGCTTCACCCACTTCGATACATTCGAGATTTAGTTAACACGCACTCTTTCTGATAGGATAATATGCTTAATATATATACGATAATATGCTTAATATATATATATATATATATATATATATATATATATATATATATATATATATAATACCTAGGAAAACAACAAAAAATTTCAAAATTGATCGATATTTCAAGCTGTCATTAACATAAAATATTTGTCTGATATAAAAAAGTTTCGTACAACTTGTACGTATCAAAAATGTGTTTGCTTAAGAACATTTTTAAAAAGCTATCCCTTTACAACTTTAGAATTTAGAAGTTAAAAAATTTGCAAAAAAATAAATTAAATTTAATAAGTTTAAGAATACCTAAACAGTCAATAAGGCAATTGTGAGTTAGTTAAGAAATAAATATTAATATTGGATTAAGAATTTTGAAATGTCTTTTCAAATTGATTTATTGTACATATACACATACATACATGGCGCTCATAAATCGAAGCTGTTCGCATCAACCTTCACAATGTTGTCATTGTGTTAGTCGCTCTTGCACAGCATGGGGTTAGAAAATTAAGGAACAAAACCTGGAAAAATCGACGAGTTTAAACCGTTCATTCATTCATCCATCAGGTTCGTCGCCAACAATCATGACGAGCGTGGCACAACGCAGACTCCAACAACTGTGTTTCTGCCGCGTCAAGCTCTATGCGCATCAGAAGAAAAAAACGAAGGACCATTGCAAACGGAAGCGACAGGCCTTCGTGTACAATGCGGAGGAAGAGATTTGGCACGAGCCGTACATGCAATCTCTCCGCCGGGAGTTCTCGGACGAGTCGGTTCTGTGCGACTCTAAGATTGAATTGCCATGGAAGGACATCGCTCTGCCGGTGGCCGGTATGAGGATTCGTCCCGACGTGACCCTGACGTCGGTGGCCGACCGGGAAGTGGAAGAGGCCGACGTCCACGATGAAACCGGCAAGATCGAGAAGAAAGTCTCTACGGGCACTATGCCGTTGCCCTGGCAGGATCTACTCATCACTGAGACTCTAGAGATCGCACGCGCTCCGGACGACCCGGAGACCTGCGACTCCTCCGTGGAGATCCCCTGGGGAGATTTAATCTTGGAGAAGCCGATGGAGATACAGCCGCTGAGGCAGGAAAAGGCTTGCGCACCCGACGACGTCGAGATCCCCTGGGAAAGGATCCTGGTGCCGCGTAATATTGTCATCGAACCTGACAAAAAAAAGAAGAAGCACCCTTCCTCGGGGCAGCCGCCTCGCGCGCGCGTCGATACGGCATGTATCCTTTGTGGCACGAATCCTTGCTGCGCGAGGACTCACGTCTATGATACAACTGTCGTGTCTGCTTGCATGTAGACTGTATGATAAACACATGCACACGCTTTCTCTATTTTTAAAATTAAATTATTTAACTTGCTAATCTTCATCATTGGGCAACAAATATTTCGCTCCGAATAGTTCGCTAGAAATTGTTTCGAAATTAGCGAGTCAATTTTCTTCAGACTGACTGAAATAGATCGTCCCTCTACTAGAATATTCACAAAATATTCGAAAATATACCAAACGACTTTGGTAACATTTTTGTTAAATGTCAAAAATAAATTCTTTTTCATGCAAATTTCACGTTGTATTTGATTCAGAGTTGAATACGTTTACGTGTGAATTGATATTTTACGTTTATATGTAGACAAAATAAACTATGTATGAGACGTCATCTTTATAGACAATGAGTAATCTATGGATGTTGTTTAAGGAAAATTTTTTTTTCACAAAACAAATTAAAAAAAGTTTATATTTTTTACTTAATCTTTAGAATCCTGATGTAAATTTAAGAATATTTGATAAGCAAGTTAAAGTCCACGGAATTTGAATGAATTTGAATTATTGAATTAAACGCAAAGTTTCACGCAATTTGTTATCTTTTTTAAACATTATATTTATAATTAATACCCAAAGCAGACACTGCAAAATTGCCTCATAATTTAATTACTCTTTTCTATGTATATTTTCATTATGATTTACAATATTCCGTATAGTTTACATTATCTATACGTAAAAAGATCGTGCATATATATACATCGCGTAAACAATGCGACAAGTGGCCGCGTAGACGTGATCTCGAAATCTATGATACAAGCGCGACCTGATTTACCGGCGGAGCGGCAGCGGCGAGCGACGCACAGGTGGCGCCGAGTCGCGCTTCGGCAGTACTCGGGTCCGATCGGTTCCTACGAGTCGCAAGCAGTCGGCACTTGCCAGCGGACGCGAGCACAGTGGTGGTTGTCGTGAGTAGACGCGCGTGTAACCAAGAGAACGCCGTGCGCGCAGCGAAAATGGCGTAGCAGCCGAGCGTGTTGCCCGTCGTCTACTAGTCTCGCGAGCGGCGATTCCGTCAGAGCGTCAGCGCGCCGTTTTCTCGCGCGGACAGTCGGCCGAAGTGCGCCATGTTCGAGTCGGGCCAACGTACACGGTGAGACTACGCCAGGTGTATTTGTACAGTGTGTTGTACTCTGTGTGCTTGAGTGAGTCGCGCGCGTCGCGAGGTTGATCCCCGCGTTTGACGTCGTTGTCGTCGTCGTTGTTATCGTCGTCGTCGTTATCGCACGCACGTCGACGACGCTCGCGAACAACCTGAACGTTGCGCCACAACGTGACACGCGACTTCACGCACGTACGTGCATCCGCGACGTGGATGAACCCCGCCGCCGGCCAGGAATGGCCTTCGCAACCGCGAGGATTCGGTGATCCTGCCCGCTCGCGTGACAGCTTGACGACCTCCAGCACGGCCGAGATGAAGATGGCGCCACCAGCGTTTTGACACTTGCCGAAGGACCCGTCAGCTGGACTTCATCGCCGCCCGCAGGCGTCCCGTCTATTATGAGCAGAGAATTCTACGTACCCTGCACACCTTACACCTATCAGGTATGTTTTTTCGTAGTCACTGTTATCGCGTCTGCGAATGGCGTCCTTGACTCGCCCGTCACTCGCGTACGTGTCTCGCGCCGCGGTGTTTTTTTGGACACCGTACTGTCTGTTGCGAGGAGACTCAGCGTTTCCGGCTTCCTCGTGCGAGATTTCACAGCGGCGCGATACGTCAGCGAAGTTGCTTTTTTTGGCATCGATCGTTATTTGTATCAAGTTCGGCGGGACAGAGGGAGGAAGACAAGAGAATTGGTAATATTTCAGGGACGTTTTCTACAAAGAGAAAACAAAGCATGATGCAAATGTATTACTATAGGACGTTTAATCATGCTGGTAGCGCAAGTTACGAACATTTTACGATTCGTCATCAATCTTCCTGTAACGTTTATCTTGCGTGTTTCGAGGAGTTATTAATTTGACTCTGATAATTTCGCGTATCATGAATATAAAAGAGAAGGGGGGAATATGAAGCAGGACGGTAATATTAAGCAAGGCTGATTTCTTAAACAATCGTTGCAATCTATTAGTAATTGAAATAAACAACCATTACATAAGCATAAACATAACTATTAATCGACACACTATAATTAATATGTTAAATTTATCAATCAAAATAGGAAAAAAAAATATTTAATCTTTGTAAAAAGTTTTAAATCGAAATGGCTTTTCTATAGTGTTATAAATAATGTGGCACTGACACCAGAGCTTTTTGGTAGCCGATAAGAATTCTGAGGGAAAATTCATACCTTGGTAGAAAAACAGAAACTAATGGTCGCACTGGAGTCAGCTGGTAGTCGACAGTTTCTGCTTTTCTACCAGCACGAATTCTAATTGGTTTTTGTTTTTCTGCCAAAATTTTTTTATTTGCGACTTTAGTTCATAGGCTTAAAGGACTTTTACATAATTTGAACTATTCGGCTCAATTTTCTTAGTTTTCATAGAAAATTTTTTAATTTTCATTTTTAACTTGTGATTTTTATATTCAAAGGAATTTAATAAAAGAAGTTGTTTTAATATCAATAACTTTATAATGTGCTTTTGTAACAGTTGATTTTTTCCTAATGATTATGAATACATTATAAGAGATATATTTATTAAACATTTCTGACGGTTGTTGATATAATCATTGCATTTAATATTGCATTTTTCGTCTAAAATAAGAAAGTGGTTCCACCTTCTTCCTTAGCAATTAAACGCGTTAAATACACTTATTTGACGTAATTTGACATCTTCTAGTTCTAATTTAGGCATTTCAGGTCGAAATAATTGCGTCTAAGTATTCGTGCATCGTCTAACTCAGAGTCTCGTCTCATATTTAAACAGTTAGTAAGTATTCAACGCGTGAAAAGCTCAACATAAAGTTAATGCATAACAGTTAACTAATAAAGAAACCTTCAATTTTTAATCAACTATCGCGACGTATGAATAACATTTAGATATGGTACTCCCAACTCGGGAACATCCAAGCCGAAAGAACTTTGTATCACAGTATAGTTATAAATTAGTATATGTTATAAATTTCATACCGTATAGCTAACAAAGGACAAAAGCCGATGCGATCGGTCAACAGTCGATATGAAAGCTAAGGACCTTCAAATTGATAAGTGAATTTTACCATTGATTCTCCCTTTATCTTTGATACAACGTCAGATATGAGTAATACGGTAACTGATAGGGAAGCTTCGAAAGATCCGACTGATTCGAGTCAGCGAGCTATCGGAAATGATACACCGTCTAGTAGTTTCGATCGTGGAAAACCAGACAAGCGATCTATAGTCTCCGCGATAAGCCAGAAGGTGAGAAGAAAGCGACTAAGGACTGTACATAGGACATACGGTGTTATATGTATTGTAGAATGTGTATTTATATATATCTTCCTCTATCGGAATGTATTATCTACAGATCCACAGCGATATCCACCAAACTTGGTTATCACTTATTATCATTAGTATGCAGATATATATTAGGTGTACCTTAGATATCTGCATCGTTTGTTGAAACGGTGTAAACAAAGATAACGCCCGGAGGTTTTCTGACGGAGAGAATATTATAGTTTACTTTTATATAAATATAAATACTTTCTCTCTCCCCAGTGATACGAATTTTGTCTATTTATTGTCATTCTGCCGGCCGAGATCGATCGGAAATTCTAATCAGCGGTAACAAGGACTTATGACGCATTCTGCTCGTCACATTGCGTAATTACTGTTCCTTGAAAAGTGCGTTAATTGCGGAAATTTCAACTTTATGAATGGCTAGCGGGCAGGGTGAAAGTGTATGTTGAGTGGCCGGGAAATTATACGAGCTGGGGTTAATAAAGCGTTAATTAAGCAACCCAATCGACATTACGACACGCGGAGAGGGGAGAGCTGTACACGCGCTTCATACATGAGGAAAGGTCGTCTAACGAACATCACGCACAGATCAGATCGAAACTGCTCACCCTCGGTAACCCTCTAAAGCGTCTGATGAAGTCGAAGAACTCCGAGGAGGAGGACGCGAATCGTCGCGAAGTTAGTCCGCGCGTCTCCGAGAGAATCGCGAATATTGGCAATGGTAAATATACACACACACACTTAGCGCATTTCTGCGTGTCGGATTAATTAAAATATCGTTGGAGCGTAAACACGAGGTACATCTTCGTCGTGCGCGTTCACAGTGAGCGGACAAAGTGCGGCGAAGAGCAATACCTCGGTGTATCGGGCCGAGTATCTCGTCGCGGATGCAAGGACGCGCGAATCTTGCCAGGACCTCGGCAGTCATTTCTCCGAAGTCGACCCCGATGAACCTTCGACCTCCGTGGCGAACACCGAGCTCTCCGCGGGCACCTCCGATCGCGATGTCGGGAGAACGGAGCCGAGTAAGACCTCACGGAATCCACCCCGCACTGTCGGCTCTGTCTATCCACCGGATAGATGTAGGAGTGCGCATGTAACGTTCGCGACTCGAGCAATTACTTCGGAAATTTCGGAACTCGGTAACGAAGTAACGCTACAATTCTAAGCAGAATCGAAGTAAGTCTCGTAATTTTCTTACGTTCTGTTCTAAACAGAACAGAATGTAAGTCTCGTAATTTGTTCCCGTAAAGTCCGTAAGAACTTATTAGTAAATCTACAATTCTATACGTACCATATGTTCTACGATCACTTGTAAATATCATAAATTATGTGAAATCGTAGATATTTACGAGTGATCGTAACAAGTGATATGGCATACGGTATACATATAGAATTGTAAATTTATTCATGAGTTCTTACGAATTTTATGAGAGCAAGTTACGAATCTTACGATTCTGTTTAAAATTGCATAATTCGAAGTGAAATTTAATTATTTCTACGCGACAAACATGTGCATTTTTTAATTTCCATTTAATGACGCGGATTCTTCGTTAAATACGGTGGTTAAATGTGGTAGGGTAAGCATCCAACAGTTCTTGATACTCCTACGCGGAGCGAATTGTAGTTTCTTTTTTTTATATAAATTCTTCTCAATTTTTTATGTTTCTAGTAGTAGAGGAATAGACTGTCAGTTGGGTCTATCTTGCTAATAAACATTGTAAGTTTCGTCCGAGAGATAGTAGATTATTTAATAGTATATTTCAGTTGTACTAAAATATAAATATGAAACAGAAATATAGTTTATATTACTGCAGAAATGTCTATTCCTCGGTTATAAAATTTTACGGTAATTTTTACAATTATATTCTCTCCGTGTGCGTAGATTTTATCAAATAATTAAAATTAAGGTATATGACTATTTTTAAAAACTATTTAATAAAATCCTCGTAAGAGTGTCAAAAACTAACAAATACTGGCTACTGGATGTTTTGCCCTTTTTAATAAATTGCGGCGAGCCAAACTAATCGATATTCAATATTTACAAAGATGTAAATATATAACAATGTTTACTTTGTCTATAAGCATGATTTTTTATTCGTCATACGGAAACAGCTACGATATTTCAGCACTTTTTATGAATCAATATGCACGTTTCTTTTTTACGTTCCTTTTCTCGCGAGCAATATTTTCGAATATTACCGAGCTGTACATTAAAACTTGGCATCGCGGATAGCCTTGTGGATAGCATTACGAATTGCGCGGAAATCGCTATTCCAGTCGCAGCGCCAATCGAGCGTGTTACTTCCGTTTGTTTTTTTCCGGTGACATGCGCGTTGCAGACGAGAATCCGCGAAGTACAACAGTGACGTCGATGACTTCCACATCGCTCGGGAGTGAGTGGACCGATACAGTCTCGAGTTCCACGAACACCGAGGAAGTGTCGGAGGCGGACTTCATGAGCGTGTTACATCGCGGCACCATCATCGCAGTAGCACCTATGACGTTCTCCGCTCAATTTGGGTATCGTGACATAAATGCGACTCATTAAAAGATACATTCGCGAGATAAGTCCCCGAGATCAATTCAGCCGAGATAAATAATATCTTCTTGTGAAGATTCGTACACGGAGAAAATATTATAATAAAAGTTATGTTAAAATAATATTTTTCTTTACAGTTTCTGTAAAGTTGGACTGTACTAAAATTACTAGGTTAGTAAAAATTAATTCAGAAATACATTTGACGGTCTGTCGAATACACGATAGGAAAAGCATTTAAATAATTAATAACTTTTAGAAAATCAAAGGTGTGTAATATTATTAGATAAATATATAGCAATTTCGATTATAATTCTATATCGTCCAAGAATATAAGAATTTTGTTGTGATGTTTGTTATAATATTTAGTAAAAATTATACTTCTTTCTACAAAGTTTTGTGTAATTATATTGAAATTGTATATGGAGAGAATATAAATTACTAAAGAAATAGTAAATTTAACAATTTATACAATTATATATAATAATCTTAGTTATAATTCTGTATGATTCAAGAATAAAAAAAATTTGTTGTAATTTTTATTATAACATTTAGTAAAAATTACGTTGAAATTATATTTCTTTTTGCAATGATTTTGAAATTATATTGAATTATATATTGTATTAAATTGAATTACTAAAAAAACAGTAAATTTGACGATCTACCAAATATAAAGAAAAGATTCAAGTAATTGCGATAATTTCATAGTAAAAAGTTAAGCGTGCGTACATTCTTAAACAAATATATAGTAATGTCGGTCATAATTATGTACAGTCCAAGATTACAAAAATTTTATTATAATTTTTATTATAATATTTCCTCCGTACAATTGACCTGCACAAAAGATAGAGATTTTCGAAGGCGACTTTTGATTCTCTTCTGATACTGCGAATTTAAGATGTCAAGTTTCAACTCGATGCTTTGACACACGTATTTTTTTTGCAAACTCTGTTCTCTTACTTTTTCCTTGCCGTTCGAGACTCCAGCGTCAAATCTACCTACATCTCGTAACCGAGAGCTAGGATATCGGATTCGCGAGCGCGCATAGAGACAACGTTGTGGTGTATCGTGCGACTCGAATCCGCAAGTCCGCTCGCGTGCTAACCGCGCTAAAAATCTGTAACGGTATCGCCATTGCGGTCGGTTTACATTCAACCAGCGTCGACGACACTCGGTATGATACCGCCGGAAACGGTCCCGACTGGTTGATCAGCTTGACCCTCATTAGCTCGCGCGATACAGACGAATGAACACTTTCGGACGAGATGCCTCGCTGTTCAAGACGAGGGACACGTTCCTTCGGGGACGCACACTGTCCTCAGCGCGCACATATTACCCCGAAAGCTCACGCTCATGAGAGAAATCTCCGCGAAATCCCGGGAAAATAGAATTCTCCAATCACACAGAGGACGACAACGCGAAACTCCCGCGCTCCTTTTAGAAATCGTCACAAACTTCGGGAACAACTCGGCAAAAAATGTACTTTCCATACCAGGCGTGCGGAGGACAGATTGAGCCTGTAATTTCTAAAGTTTACTCTAAATAGAAAGTCTCAAATGGACTTTCGACGAGCTCGCTTCTCTCTTGATCTGAACGTCGGTAATTTTCAGAACTCTTCGATATGCCAAAGTCAACCTTGTGTATTATCGGCTTACGCAGCACTTTCTGCGAACGCGCAGTGGTTCTTCGGAGAACGCGGGGAATTCCGCGAGCATATTTCTATATCCGTCCGCAGAGTACATGATTGAAATACGATGTTTCCGCCGCGTACACCGAAGCTATCTTGTTTCGGCATTTTGACGCCGACGCGAATTCCTCCGCGTATTAATATCGTCGCATCCGCGCGGATTTGGTCACGAACCGCAGGAAGTTTTGCAGGTAACGCCGGCCGCAGGACTTTCACGGCTCCGCGTCCTGCTCACTGGATCGTATGGAGATCCTATTCGATTACAGGCCGCGCTGTATCGCGCGGCGGTTACGTCTCGCGGCGTGACTCACTCACTTCGTGTGCACGCGTGTGTACGCTTGTACCTATCGATCACCTCCGTTTGAGAAAGTTGCGTGAGGTAACGCTCATTGAAGCATTAGTTTTGCTGCGAAATATGAAATCAGTTGCCGCCGACTCGGCGCGAGATCTCGGCGCGATTTCTATCACCGCCGTCCAACAGTTTTATCTCGCTGGCAACGCGCTCCCATTACTCATTGTTGCTGCAGCTCGGCATTTTCGTACGTATCTCATCGCGGCGCGTCCGTGTGTACATAGGACACTTATCTCATCGCGATGTTCGTGTGGAGATAAATGGAATACCTCTTGATTAGCTCTTAACAGATAACACAAGCAAGCAGCAGAATGTAAATTGCAGGCGTGACTTTTGGAAATGCCCGCGACGATGTTTCTTTTTCATCAAAAACAAAAATTTACGCCGAGAAAGCAGCAGCAACAATGTTAACAGCAAAAAGTTAATAACAAAAATGTTTTTAGGCAAAACCATGTTCTCTGAAAGATAATTTACCGAATGTCTGCAACGAAATATGCTTTTAGCAATGTAAAAAAACAGATTTTTACGACAAAGTTGGCAAAATTATACGTACTATGATTAAATTGCTAATAGCAATTTTATTGGGAAAACGATATTCTCAAGTGTTTACAACAAAGTAGAAGAAATTAATGGTTAATAACACTGTTATTAACAAATGTGTTGAAAACAAATGTTATTTTTTATTTAAAAATAACTAAGTAATTTTAATAGTAAAATTTGACGAATTTATTTTGATAATTTGTTGTAAACTCACTGCAATATTATTATTTTCTTGTCGAATAATCATATTTAGTTGCTCCGCTCGGGTTTATCTCGTTCTTGCAACTTGTTTTTCGCTGATTATAACAGCTGATTAATACAGAAACTTCACGCAAAGATAATTTCGGACTTATATATTTCCCGTCTGTCTTTCAGCTGCGTATTTAACAACATGATCTGTCGGAGTCGGTGAAGATTAGTAATGCCGCGGCGACAATATCAGTCAAAACGATTTATGTTCATATGAAAGTGTACTTTCTCTGTGCGCGATAAAGATAGAAATTCGAGCAAATTTCTCCCGTAGCGGAGGTTACTTCTTCGTTTGCTTCGCTCCTTCCTTGTGTCTCCTGTTCGCCGCAGATTCTCTCTAATGAAAGCTTAAATTGCGCTTTAACCGCGGGATAACTTCGACGATTTGTCGGGTAGGCAGGTGCATCCTGGCACGGAATATGGATTCGGGCTACCATCGAGCGGTCGATGTCGAGCTACACATTATATAGTATACAGGGTGTTTCTGAATTCCGCTGTGTGAAAAAGAGAACTTTCACTCGGGAATTCTTCCACGTTACATAAAAGTCAATCAATGTTCATTTTACAAAATACTGTTCAAAAGTCATCTGTTGTCGTGTCTCTATTTTTTACGCTTAATAATTTGGTGATATTCCATTAATGTTCAAATTAAAATACCTCAAATTAAAATGTCTAAATAGACATTAAAGGAAAAAAAGAATTGTATGATTCATGCAGAAAATCAAATTGCAAGATATCTCTTACTTTCAGCTACAAAAATATCGCTGATAGCGCGATGTATTTCTTTACTGAGGAAAGATTAATGGAGTTTATAGTTAAAATATGAGACGATAAAGATGAAACACTCTGTATACTGGTACGGAAGACCGTGTGGCGTGCCGATAGACTTCGGAAAATTTCGGTCGCGGGTGAGCCAGAAATTAGTCGTCGTCTCGCAGTCACTTCCGATACCGTCCAACCCGGCAAAAGTACCACAATCATGACGTGCCGATAATTTCGACGAGCAGCCGCCGATGTCACGCGCACCTCTATTCCACAACGGCTCTACGGAAAAGCCGTGTTCCACGGGGCAGACTCTAATACGCGTTCGTGCAAGCGTATTCAAAGCGACCTACAATACATCATATAAAATCACTGACCGAAAATTTTTGACATTAATCTCCATTTGAGCAATAGCCGCTAATACATACTAATGTCTCGACCTTGTGAGCGGGAAATATACTCGCTTTAGCAGTTCATGGCGCAGTCCGCGAAGCGGGTATGAGTCACGGAGCATGATCGTCTTATATCTCGGGATAATAAAATTAGAGAAGGCGCAGCGGCCGGAGATATGAAGGCACGAGTACGACTTCGCGTATTAATCGAGTAGGAAATACGAATGCGCCGAACTGCGCGTTTGCACGGGTGGGCGCACGTGTGTGCTTCGAATATACGGTCGGGTTTGGTCCAGCCATGTTTCGTGGGCGTCCTCCAATGCGGCTTTTACCGCGTGTGTGAATGCGTACGTGAAGCGTACGTACGTGCGAGTAAATTCACAGAGTATCGCGCGATAGAGTCTTATTGCTTTAGAAAGTAAAAGTCTTTGTCCTACGATGCGCCATGCGTACCGCATGCAACGCGTCGCGCCGAGGTTCCTCGTGAAACTACGTTCAATTCACGCGAACATTTCTTAACTTGTCTTTCCTTTCTTAATGAGCTTATGCTTTAATTCTTTCGCTACCAACTGGAACATATTTTTTTTCCCACCGTTAATAATAATCTTATTCGATTGATTGAACAACTTTTTAGGCATTCAGAACACATCAGCTACTCGGCTATATACTGGGTCGACTCTAAATTCGCGCAGAAACAATTTTAGTCAGTAATATATACGTCATTCCATCGATATTTTTTTGCCATTTTTCACGTAATTTCACAATTTCCCTCTCTTGAAACTTTGTGCTTTCCTGACGGAGAAACTTTGTTAGTGATTTTTTACATCATTTAAAAAAGCGAAGTTTATATCTTCAAAAGAGTTCTGTAATTAGCGGAACAGATGATAATCAGAGGAGACAATGTCGAGTGAGTCAGAGTGAATATGGAGGGGAGTAGGGTGAGGCAAAACATTCCAACCAAACTCTAGCAGTTTTTATGGAAATAAAAAAGTAAAGTATATTGGAAAAACTCATTACTGCCTTCCATTTTCAAGTCGTAACAAAGACAATTGTACTTTTTTAAAAACACATTACAAAATATGCTCTGAAATGTCAATTATCAAAGCATATATATGAGCAACTGTATGGAACTATCCTCCTAACGTCAAGTAGACAAAAATTCACACAAACTCATGGATCAACCCAATATTTTATTTATATCTTTATAGACCTTTATATATACATCTTTTTTTAATCTTACAGTTTATCATTTATAATTGAACGGGTAGTGTTTGTAATAAATCTTAAGAGGACGCTGGATATCGACATAGTGCAACTTCATATTTTGCATTGTTTTTTTATTTGATTGCATAAAATTACGAGTGCTTATATACAGAGTGAAAGTACAAATGTCAATGAGTGGCAAAGTAATATCGAAAAATTCTTTACAAATCCTTTTTACATTGAAATTTGTACTTTCACTCTGTGAAAGCGATTCCGTGCAATAAAATATAAAATAGAAAAACTGCAAAATATGAAAATTGTATTATATCAGCATCCGCCTCCTTAAGAATCACATAAATTGCACTACATCTTTTTTCTAGTAAAGACTTTCGAGTTCACTTAGCAACTAAGTACCTTTTTATGTAGAAGTCGAAAGTCACACGTATTTTCTCCCTCGAATTACGACCTTTGTAGACGTGAGAGGCAATCTAACGATAATTAATCGAACCTCAGAAGCGAGATTAGCGACGCGTCCGGAACGGTGGAGTCGAGAACGCAAGATCAGAGGATAGGCCGGGACGATCCGCGGGATTTTTACGATAGTCCTCTGCACATGGTGATTCGTAAGCCAATTTTTCCGCGGGAAGACGAGTCCAGCATATACTGAAATTACGCCGAGCCCTTAATTATTGCGAGGAGTCCCTCCCCGAGGAGTCCCTCCGCTGGTATCGCCACGTATTAATGAACTGTCGATGAAGATTTGACAAATAAAACCTTTCGCATGAATGTGTCGTTTGTATCCCTGAGCGTGAACGACGCGGAGAAAGGAATCATTCGATTATGCAAACGACGGGAGAGTGAGTAAAACTTGTCAGGACGCTTCGGCGGTCATCGCGATTGGATTTGAATCCCTTCAAATTCGTTGCACGTTTTACACACGGCTATCGGCATTATGCGAGCTGTCTCTCATCGTCACTTGCATCGAGAAGGAGGGCTTATAAGCGGCATTTTGCACGAGACACGTGCACGAAATGTCCGTGAGCGTGTCTCGTACATGTCTCCCGCTTCACTGAGCCGATGAGCCGCGCGCAATCGATATAAGAGAAGTTTCTCGCAAATATTTATTATACACCCCGCTGTCGGGGCGCATCTCCGCGACGCTACACAGCTAATAATTTACGTCAGGCTTCTTTTATTTTCGGCACTCGCCCCGAGGAACGTGAAAGTCGCCTTGTTACGGTGATTTATCTGAAAATTACGCTCGTTACGGCAAAAATTCTCCCGGCAAATCGCCTCAATTCACAAGACAAATAGTTCTTAATTATTCACTAAGAACGAGAGTACGTGTTTTTATATAGAAATAGTTGCCGATCTCGCATCGCGAAAACGTCTTTCGAGCATGGCTGAGTGTGGAACGCTTACACAGATAGTCAGGGGTTAACACGCACGATAAGTGACATAGTTTACTTTCATCACGTCACACAGTGATCGAGATAATGTATCGAACGCTGATTTCCCACGTAAGCAAATATTGGAGTGCCGGAAAACAATGATGCATTCGGTATTATTAGGCACAATTATGCGCCATAACGCAATCAGCGTATGCAGTGAGGTATAACACGTCTAATTAACCCGTGGCTAACCGCGTACACGGCGAGTGCAATCGGGAACTACAACCGGAAGTAATTTCTCGACTATAAAAAGAGCAAGAGGGGAGGAAAAAATCTGCTCCAACCGATATGGATGCGCGTACGCGATCGTCCATTGCGTTACGCAGTTGGCCAAGTCAACAAGTCTCAACAGTTATTACATACTGTTCTTGATCATTGTGATTAAAAAGAAAAAGAAACTAAAGCTTAATCCAGACGTAGTTGCAATACCACTTTCTTTTCAAAGTTTGTTATTCTTCTGCTAAGATCGTGATATAATTATATAAAATTGTTATGTTCAATATATTTATAGGCATAAGCATCTGATTAGAAATATATAATGTGAAGATATATATGTGTTGTGGGAGTTTCAGTTGCGCGTTGTATTAATAAAAATCACGACAGTTCTACGTACAAAAAAATATGATGTCAGCAGACATTCTGTTGTATTATACGAATTGGCAACGTCTATAGACGTTCTGACTGCAGTGTTAAGGACATTTGTTCGAGCTTTGGTTTCGAGGATCTCTGTGAAGCTTCTTATTCTTTCATGCAGAGATTTTCTACATGTAGAACGCGAATAGAGGAAAGCCACGGATGTGAAGACGCAATAATGAACTTACCGTGCAGCATCGTTTTAATAGTAATTTTAGGCAAACAACAAAGCCCGTTTAGAGTACGTGAAATAGCGAATATTAGACGCTTTCGCACATGCTCGAGCGTCGGTGTTAGAAAGCGAGTTACGCGAATGTGCGCACACCTTTGTTCGTGTTCATTATCCATGCGGTGACGGTGATTCGACGGTAATTTTATTTTTTGCCTGGCTATCCTTTACATAAATGCGTATGACGAGAGAGTCAGCGCACGCGAGAGAGCAAGAGAAAGAGACACAATGATAGAGGTGCTTCAGCGTGTTCCGACGACACGGCGTAGTCGACACTGCTGCAACGACTTACGATATAATTTCATCATTGCGAAATATGATTACGCAATTCGCTGTTTAATTCTTGTGTACGGTTGTAGTATGGACTGCGAATATCAATACTGCCGCGGCCTTAAAGTAAACATTGCTAGTCAGCAGTGTTCGTTGGGATAAGATTTTTTGCCGATTTATTTGCATTAGGAAATTTGAAAAGTGTACTTAAGGCAATTTTTAGCGAGTATACTCGTCATGCAACACAATTTAGATACATGCTTTTAAAAGAGGGCAACACAGCTAACTGGTTAATTATTATACAATTATAAAATATTACTGATTCTTTCTTCTTTAGATCGATCTTAGATTAATGAAACGGTTCAAAAACACGTGATTTTTTATTCAAAAAGAAGAAAGTTTTCAATATATACTCACAGAAAATATTATAGTAAAAATTACCTTAAGATTATATTCCTTTCCCCAAAGTTTTTTTTTATAAAGAATTAGACTATACTATTCAAATCATAAATTACTATAAAAACAGTAAATTCGACGATCTACTTGGTATAGGAATACTTACAGATATAAAATAACGTTCAAATAATTATAATAATTTTGTAGTAAGAAGTCAAATGTGTATAATATTTTTTAACAAACATAATAATTTATACCATAGTTCTGTGTGGTCCAACATTACAAAAATTTTGTTGTAATTTTTACTATAATATTTTACTATAACATTTTTTCCATACATGTTGTGTGTTCTCTTATAATTCGAAAATAGAGGTATCGAGAGATAAAAATTTTTGTAACTTGTTCAGTATGTTATCTACATGGTTCTTTTAGATTAGTTAAGATTATATTCCTTTCCCCAAAGTTTCTTTTTTATAAAGAATTAAACTATACTATTCAAATCATAAATTACTATAAAAACAGTAAATTCGACGATCTACTTGGTATAGGAATACTTACAGATATAAAATAACGTTCAAATAATTATAATAATTTTGTAGTAAGAAGTCAAATGTGTATAATATTTTTTAACAAACATAATAATTTATACCATAGTTCTGTGTGGTCCAACATTACAAAAATTTTGTTGTAATTTTTACTATAATATTTTACTATAACATTTTTTCCATACATGTTGTGTGTTCTCTTATAATTCGAAAATAGAGGTATCGAGAGATAAAAATTTTTGTAACTTGTTCAGTATGTTATCTACATGGTTCTTTTAGATTAGTTAAGATTATATTCCTTTCCCCAAAGTTTCTTTTTTATAAAGAATTAAACTATACTATTCAAATCATAAATTACTATAAAAACAGTAAATTCGACGATCTACTTGGTATAGGAATACTTACAGATATAAAATAACGTTCAAATAATTATAATAATTTTGTAGTAAGAAGTCAAATATGTATAATATTTTTTAACAAACATATAATAATTTATACCATAGTTCTGTGTGGTCCAATATTACAAAAATTTTGTTGTAATTTTTACTATATTTTACTATAACATTTTTTCCATGCATGTTGTGTGTTCTCTTATAATTTGAAAATAGAGGTATCGAGAGATAAAAATTTTTGTAACTTGTCCAGTATGTTATCTACATGGTTCTTTTAGATTAGTGCTATTACTCCGGTTTACCTGGAAATCGAAATATTTTTATTACTTTCCTGAAAATTCGACAATATTCTGAAAATTCAGAAATACAAGATGAAACTTTTATTCTTGGCTGACTTCAAGAAGAAAAACTTTTTTTAACCGATTTCAAAAACCAATTTTTAGTAAATAATTAAAAAGGATATAATAGAATAATTGTTTTTATAAAAGTAATCGCGATTTTCCGTCTGAGGGAATCACCAATGTTATTACATACAGGGAATTACCAATGTTATATTGATTCTGTGTAAATTTATCTGAATATTGGCATTATGTCGAAAATAACGCTTTGAGAGGACTTAAAACGCGGGTTCTTTGTCTCCCCGTTCACTGCAGCTGGCGATTAACCAAATTATCCAATTTGCGATTGGCGAATTCGCCTCGAATGAATAATCGATATTATCCTACCGCGTGACTTACGTCACCGACTGTACCGATCACTGTCGAAGGGAGTTTCCGAACGATCGACAATACTTAGCTTGTAATCGGACATTCGGCTCGGCATAATTACGCGTACGTACACGCATTCTTCGTCCGTGTAACTCGCGATGTAATGGCGTTAAATGGAAATACTTGTGGCTGTTACGTAGCCGCCAGTCCATTGTTCCCACAGAAAACAAGCTCCTGACATTGAAAACAGCTCACGTGTCGGCGTAAGGTCCATTTTTTGCGTGACGTTAAACGTGATCATGACAGCGTAGCGCGTTAGTTTCGATGACGCAACATCGATTGTCTTGATGCACGATGATTGTAATGTGCGATTTGTGCATAATCGTATATGGTAATTATTTTTGTCTTTCACGTTGTTTCACGACAGCGAATTTATTATAACGAAAATGGCAGGCAAAGCTCGAAGCAGATGTCGATTATCGTTTATTTAAAAACGCTCGCTGCAACTTTCTACTTTCTTCCCAGCGTTACATCACTCGTGTAATCTTGGTCTTCTCATGACGATTGTACGTACACGTTTATACCGTTTACGTACATATCGGAAGAGACTATTAAGGAATAGTGTATAGAAGGAAAGAATCACATAGGTTCGTATTAATAATCGTTACTTGAAACTTGTCTTACGTAAGATACTCAGATCTGAATTTAGAATTAGATTTTTTCATTTAAATCGTATAATATATGTGATATCGTGCATTTGCAATTCAATTGACAAACCTTCATCTAACTCTAAATTCAAATCTAAGTATATTTCACGTAAGACAAGTTTCAAGTAAGGACTATTAATATAGCTCTTAGAGCCGTATTAGATTCCGATTAGTATATTCCAACAGATATTCCGATAAGTTGATACTTCAGCGCTGAGGTTTTATGTTCTTCCTTTTTACCGCCGCGGATCGTACCCGTTACCGTATATTTACCGTAAAAGATTCCTCAACACAATCGATTGCATACATTTCCGTACGCAGTTTACACAGGTGTAACGTGTGTGCTCCCGCTAGGAAACTTAAACAGACCCTGACGTCGAATTGATCATCACGGAACTGAGGTCTGTATTAATATATTACTTGAAGCTTGTCTCACGTGAAATACTCTGATTTTCA